TGGTGACAATGGTGACATTGGTGAAGCTTTGTTACCAGAATATTTAAATAGTTTATCTCCACCATCTCTTCCTCCTCATGAATTACGTTTGAAACCAAATTGTATCATTATGTTGATTAGAAATCTTAGTATCAATGAAGGTCTTTGTAATGGCACTAGATTAATGGTTATAGAGCTTGCAGACCATTTATTAAAATGTAAGATTTTAACAGGTGACAAAGCAGGAGATATTATTTTTTAAATCGTATAATATTATATTGTGAAAATGTATATCCTTTTACTTTTTCTAGAAGACAATTTCCGATAAAATTAGCTTTTGCTATGACAATTAATAAATCACAAGGACAGACATTTGAAAAAATCGGATTAGATCTTCGTAAAGATGTATTTAATCATGGACAACTTTATGTTGCCTTTTCACGAGTTCGTTCTTGGCAAGCATTAAAAGTTTACATTGGGAATCAACGAGATAATAGATACGTTAAAAATTATGTATATAAAGAAATATATGTCTAGCTTTATTGTTTTTTAATATATATATATGATAAAAATAATTTATGTGTTAAAATGATTATAGTAATTTAATTTGTAATTTAATTTGTAATTTTTAAACTGATTATAAAATAATTAAATATATTCTATAATATCAAAAGTGTGTGAAAAAAAGGAAAGATAATTAATTATTTTTCTAATTTAAATTTTATTAAGAAAAAATTCTAAATTTTGAACATAATATAATTTTATATTTTTTCAATTAATTAAATAAAATATAATGTAAGTAATATTAATTAAATAAAATATTAATGGAACGTAAAGAATATTATATATTTATATTTAATTATATTAATATATTACATTATATAATATTATTATATATTATATTGTATAATATTATATTATATTATAATATTATATAATATAATAATTCTTATTTAATTAAATTTATTCATTTTTCATGTGATAATTAAGCTAACAAGTCGCATGATACATCCATCATCATCCGGGCACGGTAAATTGAGATTACTTCAGACAAGGAAGAATAAAGAATTTTGTACTTGAACGAGAACTCATTATTTTAAATTGTAAGTCTTTTTTAGCGGTATTCTGTAATAAAAATTATATTAATATAATATTATATTTAAATATTAAATTTAATTACATATTATTAGGTAAAAATAAAATACACTTAAAAAATATACCAAAAGATAAAGAAATAAAAAAAAATAAAAGAAACCAAAAAATAAAAAATTTACTTGTTTTTTTATTCTTATTAATTAATTGATAAACTGATAAAAAATAATTTTTTTAAATCTTAATTTATTTTATTATATTATTGCATAAATAATTATTAACTTTTTAAAATTTAATAATTAATATCTTTAATATCTTTAAAAAAATATTTATATTTAAATAATCAATTTACTTTTTTTGAATCTTCTTCAACTTTTCTCTTAATTGGCAAATATACGCTTTTTAACAGTGCCTGTAATAATATGTGCCCGTCTAATTTTTTTATGTTTTTAATATCTTTTACGAGTAGATATATCGGATTATCTTTTAAAAAAACAAATTTTTTAATTAAAATTTAAGTTTACTAGGTAAGTGTTCAGTAATCACATTGTAAACCAAAATAAATATATATATATGCACATATACATAAATTTCTAATTTACATTTACATAATAATGTTCTCAAGTTATTTTGATAATAATTATTGATCCAAATAAAATAATATATCTCACATTTTTATGTTAGCACGCAATTCTTTTCAAGAATGAGATGAGGAAGTCCTGAGATTATTATCTATATTAAAATTTTAATTTATAATAGATTGGAAAATTTTTGAAAATAAAAGATGTTTTATTTCCACTGACTAAAATTCAATATTAATCAGTGAAGAATTTTGTTGAAATTTTATACAAGATCCAATTCGCATATATTTTGACTTCCGTTTAAGTCATATAAAATTTTACAAAATTGTTTTTACTCAGAAATTCAGATACAAATAAAAATTGTTATTTTTATGAGTTTAACTACATTTTTTGTGTACACATTAAAAAAAACTAAAATATGTTATGCAAAAAATATTTTACTATATAACCATCGAAAAAATTTGTGCATATAATGTAGACATACTTGGATTACTTATGTTTTTAAAAAAGATATTAAAAATACATAATAAAATATTTAATGCGTGCATCCAAATGCATGATCAATATTTTATAGACAATTTTATACAATCTAATTAATGTTTTATTTTTAGTTTCTAATTAATCAAATATTTAATATTCTATATATAATAATTAATCAAATAATCTAATATTTTATATTGCACCTCTTTAAAAAAATTTATTTCTAAAGTATTTGTTTAATTATATAATATAATAATATAATAATATAATAATTAAACATAGTTTCAATCACTTTACTTTTTAAATATATTGCATTTTTATTTACTTTAAAATATTTATTGTTTATTATAAATGAAGCAAATGAATTAAATATAAACTTTTTTCAAAAATAGTGAATCTTTATTTGTTTTAAAATGTTTATTACTCAGCGCTATAGAAAAGTTATATATTTTACTTATAATCATCAATTATTTATTTTATCAATTATTTATTTATTTTTGTAAAACTGGCTACTTTTGGTGGTCCTAGCTTAAACACCATCCAAATAAATAAGTGGATAAATAAATATCAGATTTTATTATTTATTACTTTATTTGTTTTTATGTTTTTTTAGTTTTTTACGTTTGATTATTTTAAATATATATATTTAATTAAATATATTCTATAAAAAAAAATGATTCGATTGCCAGTTGAAGAATAAAGTTTAATTAAATATATACTATTATATCAAAAGTGCAAAAAAAAGGAAAGATAATTAATTTCTTTTTTATATAAAATTCTATTATTTATATAAATATTCTAGCTAAATAAATAATAAAATTATACACAATTTTTGTTGCTTTAACTATATTTAAGAAAAATATATAATTTTTATATGATATTTTTAACCTTTAAATACGTAATTTACTTACTCATTGTCAATTGATTCGACTTTAGATTTATCTTTATCACTTAATAAATTTTCAACATCTTATTGTAATGTTTCCAAATCTTCGCTGGAGGAACCCATTTTTTAAATATTATTTTATTTTTATTTTTTATAATAATTTTTTACTTATTTTAACTTATAGTTTTATTTCAGAATTTCAAAGATTGAAAACATTAAACATTTGATATCTCGTTAATTTTTGTTTAAATTACCAAATTCAAGAAGTTAAAAATTTAATATATATATATATATATATATATATATATATATATATATACAGGATGTGTCATTTTAAACGTGCACTCCACATAACTCTTTTAGTTTTGATTTTAGAGCAAAATGTCTCAGACATAAATTATTTATAAATTTATACATAAAATATCATTTTGTAAAATGTAGATGAAAAAATATTTGGCATATGAATATACATATACATATATAGTTATCATCCTTGTTTTGTATATATCGATAATAAATAAAAAATTTTAATATTATTTTTATTTTTAAAACAAATTAGTTTTTATAACCATAATATTACTTCTGCTCTTATTAGCTTTTTATATGTGTAATACTTTATTTGAATTAAAGAGCATTTAATTAGTATATTGTTTTAAAATAAAATTTTTAAAAATAGTTTATTATTAATGTATATAGAAATGGAGGAAAAAAGATAATATATAATTAAAAAATACTTCTCTCTTTTTCTCATTTTAAAAGATTTTTTTTATATAATATATAAAATATAAAAAAAAATATTACTTAATACATATATATACATATATATATACATATATATTCAAATTATTGTTTACAGATTTTAAATGTGCTAAAGAATATATTTAAGTTTTATTTTTATCTGTGCCAGTTCAAATATAAAAAATGTAATTTAACATAAACTAAGTTGATATTAATTTAACACTGTTTTGTATGTTTCGCTGCTCGCTAATAATGGTGTTATTTTGTAAAATTGCAAAATTTTAAATCATCGATAAATATTGTAGTTTTCATTTCTAATTGATATATGTAATTACGATTAAATTCACGTAAAATAATGACAACAAACATTAACATAAAACACGTAGAATACATAGAATATACGGTTATAAAAAAATAATTTTGTCCTTTTATAAGATAGTAAATGGTCTATAACAGAAAATATCAATACGTACTTATTAACTCACAACGAATAATAGTTATTGAAGCAAACTCTCTTACTAAACTGTTAATTTATGTGCGGATGCTTTTATACTTACATTTACGTAATAACGAACTCTGCTATACCATAAAATTGCTGCGTGAATTTATTTGAATAATTATTAAAAAATTGATGTAAAAATCTCTGACGTCACCAGATGATAATTAAAAATGGTAGTAATTTAATCAAACAACTCTGGCTATTTAATAATCTTTATTTAATATTCACGACGTTTCGGCCATGGGTTTCGGCCTTTATCAAGTGCTAAAACACAACTTTCTATATAAAAACTTAATTTCTGATCCTAAAATGTGACATGATATAATGTGAAACAATTAACTAATAGTTCTCATAGTTATATGTATATGTATAACGTTATATTTATAATGAATAAATTATGCAAAATATCACAGAAGTTCAATAAGCAATATTTATGATAATCCTCGACATAATTATCTTGCATAATTTTCTGTAATTACAATTTTTTATCTGTATCTCGTACGCAAAATACATATAATAATGTAATAAAAAATTATTTATCAAGTATAATTTAAAAATAATTAAGTATTTTTCTTTAAATAAAATTTAAAAAATGATAATTAAAAAATATTTTTGTAAAATGTATGTATAGTATAAAATATGATAAACATTGACGCAGTTATGTTGTAGATATAATTATTATCCACACGTACACATATGGATATATCAAAAAAATTTACTGTAACGAAATAACTTTTGCATAAAAAATGGACAACAGATGATTATTATTTCTTAGTTGTTCCGCCTATTTTCGTATATTACACATATTTATAATAGCAACTTATATGCATACATACATATTGTATGCATACATTTATTGATCTTTGAGGTGAAGAAAGGAAAGAATGTTTCATTGATAAAATTGCATTTGAGAAAATCCTTTTATAAAAAAATAATCATTTCTGTTTTATGAATAACAACAGACAAGATATATTTAAATTTATATATGTAGTTATTAAAATACATTAATTTTAATGCGTCATGATAATAAAGGCGAATCTTACAATTAGTGTAAAATATACGACACATACTTCCAGCTTTTATAATTTTAAATACATTCCTCTATTCTCTAATAAATAATTCTGATATCTCGTGTTTTATACTTAACGCGTTCCTCGAGTCGCATCCTTTTATGATAAAAAAATGCATCCTGAGTATCAGTCGAATCGTCTACATATTGTAGCTTGAAAGTAATGACTCGTTTCACAAATTTCAATTAGCGCTATTGACTTTCTGGATGTTTAGATATAGCTTGCCACCTAATGGTGTCGTTACGGTAGCTTTTGGATCAATTACCATTGGTATCAAAGTCCTCTTCGAGGGTGTCACTTCGTATTTGCTCAAAATTTTTATAACCCCAAGTTTCGTTTGCAACAACCCCAAACGTATACCTATTGGAAACATTGCGGTAACAAAAATTCTTAGTAAAAAAATATATATATCTGAAAATATGCCGATAATAAAAAATTAATTGATTATATTTTAAAATTAATTCGATTGCCTTACCTATGCATGCGTGCGGACCTTCCCCGAATGGGAAGTAGGCGCACGATGGTATATTACGTTTGTTCTCTTCGTTGAACCGCTCCGGATCGAACTTCTCCGGGTTGGGAAAGTATTGCAAATCATGGTGCATGCCGAGCATTGATATATAAACCGGCGTACCCTTTTCGAGTACCAGATCAGAATTCGGCATCTTATAAGTCTTTGTCGTTACTCGGTCTAAGAAGGGTAACGGCGGATACAACCTCAATGTTTCGGACACCACCATGTCCAGATATGGTAGCGATAACGCCTGACATAAAAAATATTATATATATATATATATATATAATTTAAGAAAATATAATATAAAATATAATAAATATATTAAAATATAATAATATAAGAGTTTTAATAAGGCTCTGTAATATAAATATAAATTTAACGTATAAGACGGGCAACAAGAGCCAAATCGCGGATGACAATGCGTTATCCTAACGAAACTAAATAATTTTTCGTTAGAATTAAATACCGGTGCACAAGGCACCAAATTTTTACTTGGACACGGCCAAGATTTTAAATATGAAATAATCTCATATTTTGAGATTTAATTTCAATACCCCTTTATAACCCCCCTACGGAAAATATAATAAAATATAATAAAATACAAAATATGAATATAACAAAATGTAAAATATAATAAAATATAAATATAATAAAATGTAAAATAAAATAAAATATAAAATATACTAAAATATATTATATCATGATATGATATAATCATTATAAGCGTTTACGTACCATGTCATATGTGATGTTACCATTGGCTTTGTTGAGCGCGTCAACGATTTCTTTCCTAAGTCTGTTTTGAATATCTGGCCGTACCGAAAGTTCGTATAAAGTAAAAGCCATTGTTGTCGAAGAGGTTTCAAAACCGGCGGTGAAAAAAGCGGCTGCTTGCGCTACTAAATCGTCACCGTCAAATTCTAAAATTTAAATCTACTCTTTAAACTTTTGGACCTTTTTACTTGCTTAAATATAATTAATGATATTTTGTATGCTCTTATAAAGAATCATCGTCTTTTTATACATAAAATTGTGAAACTCGGTAAAAAAAATTGTAGGAAAATTTAAAAACAAGCGTTTTATAGGTAAAATATAATTTATAAAACTTGAGTAAAAGTTTTCGAGAAAATTTATTTATCAAGATTTAGAGCATCCAAAATAAGTAATTTTGAAGATATATGATATTTTTCGCCGCGTTACAGCAATTTGAAACTAGCATAATTTTTAGAATGGAAAAAGTGTTCCTTATTTTTTTTTAGTAGTATAATATAATATTTTACTTACTGAATCCTTCGAGATTCTCATGACTGTGATTTTTTCTCAGTTCGATAAGAACATCTATAAGATCGTTTCTCTTCACGCCAGATGCAATGAGTTGATTGATGACTTCCCAAAAGACATTGCGTAGGAAGATGCTAGATTCTTTGCCGAACGTTTTTATACCGGTCAAACGAACCACATGAGGAAAGAAAAATAACGCGAGCAGCTCGAAACCACGGATATAGCCGTATTCGAAGATCTTTCTACCATTTATCCGGAACTCAGCGTCCGGATTGTTCAACGAATTTACATTGAGTCCGTACGCGGTGCATCCTATCATGTCCGTGGAGAAATTGGCGGTTAAGTCTTTCACTTCTATCTCTTTTTTCACATCTGCAATTATATTCTGTGAATTGACATATATTACTTATACACACAAGAGTATATTTTTCTGACTTTTATTTTAACCAATTTATTTTAAACAATTTATTCAAAATTTTTATTAAGAGTACAATTGAAAATATACTCTATTAAAAAAAAATATGAGTTTCTCTTTCATTAAAAAAAAAATATATATATATATATATATATTTTTTTTTTTAATAAAAGGAAAACTCATATTTGCGATAAATAAATTTCAACTTTTCTATTCGTTAAAAAGTGAGAAAAGTCAAAGTAATATAATAAAATACAAAATATTTCATAATGCACATATTCGTATATTCTTTGATAATCAAATAAATGTTTACATATTTATAAAAAAAATGATAAAATAATCAAGATTACAGAAAGTAATATGATACAATATAAATTATACCTCTTATATAAAATATTTGTATTTCTTGACTATTTTTATAAGTTTTTATATTTTAATATTTTTACACAAAAATAATAAATAAAATTCACAACAATTTTATACAATTTAATTGTACCTGCGGTCTATATACATATACATATATATAATTATATTTATTATTTTTTGTGTAAAAATATTAAAATATAAAAATTTATAAAAATAATCAAGAAATACAAATATTTTATATAAGAGGTATAATTTATATTGTATCATATTACTTTCTGTTATCTTGATTATCTTATCATTTTTCTTATAAATATGTAAACATTTATTTAATTATCAAAGAGTATACGAATATGTGCATTATAAAATATTTTGTATTTTATTATATTACTTTGACTTTTCTCACTTTTTAACGAATAGAAAAGTTGAAATTTATTTATCGCAATTTTTATCGTAAAATTCTTTGTATCTCGACATTATATATATTTAAAAAAATTTTTCGAACATACCGTCTACTTTCAAAGATTCTAGATGCGTGTCTAGATTCTTAGCGCATTCAAGCATCGACTCAAACATTTTCTTCAACTTGCCGGACGTAAAGATTGGGGTCAACTTTGTTCTTAATATCTTCCAAGCCGGATTTTTTAGGAAGAAGAGATTAGTGTAACCCAAACGATCATTCGGATCAGCCGAGGTGTATCGATCATCAAAATAATTGAAATCCTTTACTAAAACATTCTTGACGACTTCTCGATCGCGAATCAAGAAGAAGGGTTTGTCTAAAACGTAGAAGCCGATGTATGGTAGCCCCTTCGCCTGATTGTAAAAATCCTTTATGAGATAGCCAGGTGATTTCTTTAACAACGTGCATTCAGTAAAATTGCCTAAGAACGGCGTCGGCGGACTTATTTCCGAAACGCCTCGTTTTTTCCAATAATTGAATTTGCGAGTCATGTAAAGGTAGGCGGATACGATGAGAGTTGTCAAAATTATTATGCCGTCCAGGCTCCAATAAGCCGTAATGAGTGCCATTTTGACAACTTGTGTTTATAAAAAAATGTATTCTTATTGTCTACAAAAATAGAAAAGAAATGGATTATATTTTATCGTTTTGTGGAGTAAATAAATTTTTAAATAAAATTTTTTAAAGAATTTATGAAATATAAATAAAAAATTTATTAAATATAAATTTTGTTAAACACAATTTTTCTCAAAAGTTTGAAACAATATTATTAAAACTGTTATGTGTAATAAAAATAATTTATATCAGTAGCTAAAGCAATAAATATCTATGAATAAAAATTAGATATGTATATACATTATATAAGTTTCAGTTTTCAAAAATTTAATATCTTCTAAAACAAAATTACATGTTTTCCTGACATTAGTTCACTATTTAATTTACTTTTAACAACTAAGTAGTTCTCAACATCAAATAAGATGTTTAAAATTAGAAGTTATTACGCAAACGGCTACGATTTTTACTAGCCGCGATGACAGACTCAATTTAAATGCGACATAAACTTTATACAGAATGTTATAAAAGTACCGGAACAGCAGAATAACTCGAAAAATATGATTTCTAAAATAAATGTTAAGTATTGGGTTTTTATGATTTTCTTTTGGTTATCTGATTGTGACCTTAGCCAGGAAAAAATCATATATACTTAGTACGTAGCATTTTATCTAGGACTCATATTTTTCGAGTTAGTCTGCTGTTCCGGTACTTTTATAACACCCTGTATATATATATATATATACACTGCGGATATCCCTATTTTTTTTTATGCAATATTACTGGCGAACCGTTATCATTTAGCGTTGCTCATCTTATATGCACGAAACTCAGTATTTTAAAATTTATGTTATAACATTCTTATAAGAAATATTATATATACTACGCACTATTTTAAAATAGTTTTAATTTAATAAATTTAATCGTAATATTGAAAGTTATTAATATTTTTGTAACAATTAATACATATATATTCAAATTATTGTTTACAGATTTTAAATGTGCTAAAGAATATATTCAAGTTCTATTTTTATCTGTGCCAGTTTAAATATAAAAAATGTAATTTAACATAAACTAAGTTGATATTAATTTAACACTGTTTTGTATGTTTCGTTGCTCGCAAATAATGGTGTTATTTTGTAAAATTGCAAAATTTTAAATCATCGATAAATATTGTAGTTTTTATTTCTAATCGATATATGTAATTACGATTAAATTCACGTAAAATAATGACAACAAACGTTAACATAAAACACGTAGAATACATAGAATATAAATAAATATAACAGAAAATATCAATACGTACTTATTAACTCATAACGAATAATAGTTATCGAAGCAAATTCTCTTACTAAACTGTTAATTTATCTGCGGATGCTTTTATACTTACATCTACGTAATAACGAACTCTGCTATACCATGAAATTGCTGCGTCAATTTGATTGAATAACTATTAAATAATTGATGTAAAAATCTCTGAAGTCACCAGATGATAATTAAAAATGGTAGTAATTTAATCAACCAACTCTGGCTATTTAATAATCTTTATATAATATTCACGACGTTTCGGCCATGGGTTTCGGCCCTTATCAAGTGCTAAAACACAACTTTCTATATAGAAACTTAATTTCTGATCTTAAAATGTGACATGATATAATGTGAAACAATTAACTAATAGTTCTCATAGTTAATTGTTTCACATTATATCATGTCACATTTTAAGATCAGAAATTAAGTTTCTATATAGAAAGTTGTGTTTTAGCACTTGATAAGGGCCGAAACCCATGGCCGAAACGTCGTGAATATTAAATAAAGATTATTAAATAGCCAGAGTTGGTTGATTGAATTACTACCAATATTAAATAATTATTCATCTTAGAAGTATTTGTTCGATTTTTCCTTTAATATTGCAACGATTTTATTGTTAAATTTTCAATCAATTTATGATACGTTGAATATTTGTTATACTTAATAATATATTTATAAATAATTATAATATATACATAATATATTTATCTCTATTAATTTTATTATTATTACACTTTTGATATAATATATACATTTATTATAAAAATACATTGGTATACTAAAATTGATAAGCGCTTTTCTCCTTCGGAATCAAAATGCAGAGACGAGACTTTTTTCCCGACTACGAATTAACTTAAATGTGTAAAAATATGCAGTTCATGTGGAATTCACATTCTTATTGTTAGTTTAAAGTATTCATCTAATGTGTGTCCGCATTATAAATATTCTTCAATAAGTTTTTTTAATAAATAATGTGTGACGGCTTCATAATCAAAATGTTTACAAACTTATATAATCTTGATAAATAAACATATATATATATATATATATTTATATTAATCAAGTATATGAATGCATTATTTACAAATTTCTATTTTCTGCATCTTGTACGTTATATGTATAATAAATAAATTATGCAAAATATCACGCAAGTTCAATAAGTAATATTTATGATAATCCTCGACATACTATCTTAGATATAAATCATATATTTCATCATTCGATTTAAATACATTATGTACAAATTCCTATTTTCTGCATTTTCTACGTTATATGTATAATGAATAAATTATGCAAAATATCACGGAAGTTCAATAAGCAATATTTATGATAATCCTCGACATATTATCTTAGATATAAAATAATTGATAAAACGTCTTTTATAATAAAACACTAATTAATCACAAATAATTAATGCTTTTATATTAATGTGTACGCAAAATTATAACTGTATCAATTAATTAATTTTTTCCTCAATATTTTTTCTTTAACATAAGACAATATTTTTCATAAACATTCAAAATTATCTGATTTTTTATTTACAACTTGAACTAATAGGCGTGCTTGTACACATTACTATATTTATATAAAAAAATTATTTATTATTACATACTTGCATAAAACGATTTATATAATTAGATATGGACGTTGATCGTTCTTATTGTTATCATTATCTTGTATTATAAAAAAATATAAAACAAGACAACCGTTTATGTAATTTTATCAATTCTTTCAATAATTATAGTTTGCTTTGTGTTGTTGCGAAATACAAGTCAATAATAAAGAATATTCTAACAAATATTCTACAAAAATTAAATCATGAATCATTTTTATAAGTATATAATCATAAATAATTTTTTAAATCGTAAAGTAAGAACAACTTCTTTTTGAAAAACAATTTTATTAAATATAACTGTGTAAATTTAAAACATTTTAATTTTTGTTTCTATAAAAATTTAATAATTCTCAGAGTGATAATAAAAGTACGGATATTTTGAAAAATATGAAATTTTCGCAAAATGCATTGTCACATATAATTTTTGTAAAATCGTTTTATATCTCTCGCCGTTTCAAAGATATGTTCAAATATATAAAGTTTGTTTTTCAAGATAATGTTTACAGAAAGGATTATTTTATATATTTTAATTGAGATTTATACAAGACATTTTGCGTAGTCTTTTTATATTATATTTGTTAATTAATTCAAAAATAGAAAACATATACGAATATATAAAAGAGGGACACGCAAAACGCCTTTTTATAAATTTTATCCTAGTTTTTGTAATCAAAGAGTCTCGTTTTAAGAAAATTTCAGTAGCCGATTTAATAAGATTATTATATGAAAAAATGCATACAAATGCACATTAATTGGTAAATTTCCCGAATACTATTACAAAGTAAAAAATTAGTGTAAAGATAGTGTACCTCGAAAATATAGTGTATATGGAACAGAAATTCGATTAGCAAATTGTTATGTAAGTTATTAAAGTGACTATGATATTATATATCAACAATGACAAATCATTTATTAATTGACCGATTAATTATTTGTCTTCAGCATGTACTGATAATAAGTATATATACGTACTTGATAGTAAGTATACATACTTGTTTGTTTTATCGATTGTGAGTTCAATTTTTTATTTACACATATAATTATTTTGCATAATTTTCCGTAATTACAAATTTTTAATTGTATCTCGTACGCAAAGTACATATAACAATGTAATAAAAAATTATTTATCAAGTACAATTTAAAAATAATTAAGTATTTTTCTTTAAATAAAATTTAAAAAATGATAATTAAAAAATATTTTTGTAAAATGTATGTATAGTATAAAATATGATAAACATTGACGCAGTTATGTTGTAGATATAATTATTATCTACACGTACACATATGGATATATCAAAAAAATTTACTGTAACAAAATAACTTTTGCATAAAAATGGACAACAGATGATTATTATTTCTTAGTTGTTCCGCCTATTTTCGTATATTACACATATTTAAAATAGCAACTTATATGCATACATACATATTGTATGCATACATTTATTGATCTTTGAGGTGAAGAAAGGAAAGAATGTTTCATTGATAAAATTGCATTTGAGAAAATCCTTTTATAAAAAAATAATCATTTCTGTTTTATGAATAACAACAGACAAGATATATTTAAATTTATATATGTAGTTATTAAAATACATTAATTTTAATGCGTCATGATAATAAAGGCGAATCTTACAATTAGTGTAAAATATACGACACACACTTCCAGCTTTTATAATTTTAAATACATTCCTCTATTCTCTAATAAATAATTCTGATATCTCGTGTTTTATACTTAACGCGATCCTCGAGTCGCATCCTTTTATGATAAAAAAATGCATCCTGAGTATCAGTCGAATCGTCTACATATTGTAGTTTGAAAGTAATGACTCGTTTCACAAATTTCAATTAGCGCTATTGACTTTCTGGATGTTTAGATATAGCTTGCCACCTAATGGTGTCGTTACGGTAACTTTTGGATCAATTACCATTGGTATCAAAGTCCTCTTCGAGGGTGTCACTTCGTATTTGCTCAAAATTTTTATAACCCCAAGTTTCGTTTGCAACAACCCCAAACGTATACCTATTGGAAACATTGCGGTAACAAAAATTCTTAGTAAAAAAATATATATATCTGAAAATATGCCGATAATAAAAAATTAATTGATTATATTTTAAAATTAATTCGAT